GATAGATAGATAGATAGATAGATAGATAGATAGATAGATAGATAGATAGATAGATAGATAGATAGATAGATAGATAGATAGATAGATAGATTTTAATGAGCATCTCATCATCTAATGAGCACAGTGTGGACTTCCCCTGCATGCTCTTTATTGATGCAAATGAAGTTTGGAAATTGTCTAGCCACTTCAATCAAATTAACCTCATTGTTTATGGCACAGTGTCAACAGAACCATGCTTCCTCTGAGTGCACAGTATGTGTCAGACAGACCTCCAAATGACAAGTCATTTTTGATGTTGGTGAATATAAAAGATGAAGCCTGTCAAAGTTTTCAGTCTGTGATTAAACTGCAGAGACAAAGTGAATAAAGGGTCATGTAGAAGCTGCAATATGGTGATGACCTCAACCTCATGAAACCTCTGAAAATAAGGCCGTGTGAACCTAAAACGAGCGTCTGAAGGTGATGAAGGAAGCATATGGTCAAACAAAGCGCTTTCTAATGGAGTATTAAATATCCTCAGACATGCACTTTGGGTCCTCAGCTTCCATCTACTAAAAGCCAATAATGCACAGCACTTCCTCCAGTCTGCGTCCTCTGGGACCGGAGTGATGGATCTGATCAATTAGGAAGCTCTTTCAGAAGCTGCGTCATTCACCCTAAGAATGAAAGTACTCCTCCATTCATGACAAAGCTCCAAATCTCCAGTTTTTGATAAAGAACGGAGTAAAAAGTTGTATTTATTTATTTTTCACACAATTTGGTGGATGAATTGCAAATAAACCCATGTGTAAACAGGCTTGATCAATTTCTACCCTGAAACTCTGTTAAAAGCTTAACATTGATTTAAAATATCAATGGAAATATTTGATTTCCCCAATGAGCAGAAAAAAACAACAACAAAACACTCAAATATAAGAGATGGGACACGCATGTTATGCAAGAGAGCGTTTCTTACCAGTCAGACTTGGGATATTTTCGAAACGCCTGCCTGGACAGGTCCTGGTGCGTCTGGGGCTCCGCGGAGATGCCCTGCGCCCTGCGGGTCCGGGGTCCGATAAGTTGCGCGCTCGGCAGGACAGACTGACATTTGTGCAGTTTCCTTTTCAGCTCATGGATCTCGTCCTCCCGGTCCGCCAGCCGCCGCTCCAAGTCTCGTATCCTTTCCTCCTTCAGCAGCAGGATCTTGGCAAAGTCATCCTCCAGCTCGCTCATGTTGAAATCCGCGTTCAACTTCTCCGAGATGATTAAACTCCCAGCAAGTCGCACCAATCTCTTTCTTTGATCTCTAACACCAAGATATGATGCTCCGACAGTCCCACTCCACCAGCAGCTGGTTTATACCAGAAGAGAAGAGCAAAGCGGGCGTTTAAAGCCGAAGCGCGTCCAATTCATGGAGCCTGTCCTCCAAGTCTCCAGGGAAAAGCTGCTGCTGCTGCTGGTGGTGAGCCTTCATTGAGAAGCAATTACAGCAGATCTTCCTCTCAGCAGGCCGTCGAACTTGGCACCAAAGAGCAAGTCCTGTAGTTCAGTAACACACCTCCAACCACAGACGCCTCTGCCGTCCCCACTCCCCCTCCTGCTGCTGCTGCTGCTGGGTTTGCTCTGCATGCATGTGCGCGTATCTTCTGGGCGACGCACATCACCTCCCTGACCCACCCGATTGCAAACAGGCAAAAATCCATTGTTCCCACTCATAGTTATTCGCGTCACTGGACAGAGAACTGGGCTTAAGCCTGTTTATAAACAAAGCTCAGTTAGGCAAAAGTTATCTCCCTATATGGCCAATGCATTTATATTCCCTGTTTCCAGTGGAGTGACTCTGATTTCCTTTGGCTTTAGATGAAACATTGCGTTAAAACGTGATTAAGCTGCAGCTTAGGACTTATTGAAAGTTTATTCTAAACTTTTTATTTTGAAACTGTTTATTATAAATGGTCTTAAGTCTCCAGATTAGGCACAGCCATAAAGTGCATAGGGTCCAAAGCAGAGATTGGTTTGGGGGGGTTACTCCATCTAACCTCACCATTGTCATGGTTTTGGTTTTGTTCAAGTTTTATTTTTGAGTTTTCATTGGTGTTATTATGATTCTTGTGTAGGTATTTTTGATTGTGTTTGAGTTATTAGATATTTCCTGTTTGCCCTCTTGTGTCAGACTCCTTTACCTTTGCTCCCTTCTTGCCCCTGATCACACCTGCTCCCACTCTCCTCATTAGCCTGGTCTTTGTTTCTCTCCCATATAATCTCCTCCTGTTCAGTCACTCTTTGCTGGTTGGTCGTCATTACTTTGTCCCCTTCTGGTTGTGAGTATTCTTGGTTTTGAGCATTTTGGGATTTTTGCTTCTGTTTAACTTTTGGTTAATTAAACCTTTAAGTAACCTTCTCTAGCTTTGTATCTGCATTTGGGTCCTGTCAAACCTCCACCCTCCCCTTGACACCCATAATTAGTTGGAGTTGGGAGAGTCATGGAGCAGGAGGAGTATAGGTGATGGGTGGAATATATTTTGCTGATGGTATGGCGCACCTAAAACGTTTTTCTTTTTATGTTCAGGCTTAATTTTCATCAGTAAAACCAAGATAAATTTTAAAAGGTGGTGAAGCAATAATTGTGCAAAACACAGCCAAAATATGCAGAAGAGTAAGTGTGCTGTTTGAAAAACAAAAATTGACAAGAGTAGGTTAAAATAAGACAAAAGCTTAGACTGAGAGCAGTCACTTGGGCACATAACAAACTGGCACCCTACAGTAGGATTTAAAAGGGCTCTACATTCAGTCATAACTGTTGAAAACAACATTTTAGGACATGGACTTTTGTTTAGAAATGCTATTTGGCAGCAGTTAGTTAGATATTTCAATTTCTTCTGTGATTCTGATCAGTATTAATACTTTTAAGTGTACCAAGACGGTCTAGCTGCAGACCTTATCCTTTCAGGACCCTTCATTGCAGACCTGCACTGTGAGGTCTCCTGCACTGCCAGAACCAGAAATGTATCGAAGCCTTTAAAGGTGAAAGGTAGAATACTGGGAACATTTTACTTTCCAGTGTTTATTTCCTCACTCTTCATAATAAAAATATGTTTGTCTTTTCATGTGTTCATTCACATCATTTATATAAATAATCTCTTTTCAGTTCAACAGGATAAGGTTAAAAAACACAAGAAAATGTCAAAATAACAACATTGTTTCACTTCTTTTATGATGGCATCTCTTATGTCTCTTTGGAAGTATTATATATGCTAATTATCATCTTGTTTTGCTATGTTCTTACGTTTGCTCTTGGCCCACAGATTTGGGAGTGGAGGCTGTGTGATGTTTAAATTTACTAAGCTTTTAGTACTCACAGTGAATTTATTACCTACTGAATACCTAGATACATGACAAAAATAGCCAATAACTCTCTTTTTTTCCGTACAACGCCAGAGAGAACAGTAGACACAAAACAAACTTTCAAATGTCTGTTTATTTTATTTTATTGAAAGTATTTTTATTGTCAAAACAGCAGATTTAACAGTGAGCATTTATCTTTTGGTGAAGTGCCTGTAAGAGAATGCATAATGTTGTAATAATTTTAAAGAAAATCACCCAAAAAATATTGATAAAAATTGTTTATCTTGGCCTTTAAGTGGGGAAAAAGCTAATTTAAGTGAGCAATAGCCTCTCAAAATTTGTCTACTTCTAAAAAAGCAGGGCATGCATGTCACACATGTAAGGCTTTGAATAAGGAGACCCCAATGTGCAGGTCTGCAACGAAGCGTCTTGACAATGTAAGTCCGCAGCCGGACCTCTATCAAGTGTACAGCCACAAGTGAGTCAGCACAATCTTCCTAACAACTGAGTCCTTAGAGTAGCATAATGTATACTAGGAAACAAGATATTAGTTGTGTAAGACTTTTTTGTCCACATAATCATAGATTACTTTAGAGAATACACCTGCAATATAGTGTCAAAACAGAGCATCTTCTATCCCAACACTCAAACTTTCAGTACTTCTGCAATTAGCATATTTTGTCCACACACTTGAAGCGACAGCTACGTACACGCCGAGGCTGGAAGTGATGTTAAAATACTAACACACAGTAAAACACATTTCTTTATTTAGATCGGGAACAGACAAAAAAAGGTGGAAATAAAGCGAATTATTATGTGGTTAGGATGCGGAATGTTTGTTTGGAAAGAGGGGTTCTTGATTTAAAGAGACATGGTGTTTTCTAATGATACTGCCACCTGTAGCTAAAACTCAGAACTGCAGCACTCTTCAGCTTTTTCTCGTAGCTCCTGCTGGTACTTGACAATTTTTTTTATTATCTTTTTTTTTTACTTTGTTCACCCTAACATGGAGTTGCCATTGGTGTCTCACCTGAGCTTGATGCCAGACGCTTCTAAGTATCCACAAAATCCATCTTGAATATACTGTAATGTTTCGAGTGTTTGCTTGGTTGGGCCCATTTAACATGGACGTGCATGATGTCACATCCGCACAACAGCGTGGGGACTTCTGACCCAACATACATTTAGGGAAAATAGGCTAAAGCCTTATAGAAGCATCAGCGCTGAACTTTAAAAATACCTCTTATAAGTATAATGTCTCTGCATAGGAGAAACTTTGTAACAAAAGTGTTCACTGAATTCTTTATCTTGCTTCCTAGTAAGTAGTCAGTCATGCAATTAGTATTTTTCATTAAATAAATATAATTTTCTTTAGAAAAAAACTGCCTGTTATCTGTTTCTGGCCATCAGTGGTTACAAGCTAAAGTGCACATCCAGTTTCAGTCATGCAACTTAAAAATGATTTATCTGTGCAAAAGATTTATACGGTTTATGCTTTTGTTTTTTTTTTTTTGTTTTTAGTCATGCAACTTAAAAATGATTTATCTGTGCAAAAGATTTATACGGTTTATGCTTTTGTTTTTTTTTTTTTGTTTTTTTTTTACTTGTAAGATGGGGCAATAATATGTGGGCCTTAATGTTTTGGTTTGAAATGTACATACAGTAAAAGAGCCAGAAATATCACTCCAAGTCAGAAACAAGCAGCAGAAACGAATAGAGTGCAATCAAAATACAACTTATGTTATTATAATTTGTGAAGTTTTGAATGGCTTTTTACTCTGAATAATTTGGAAGTGGGGCAAATTATCATTATCTCCAGTCTAGTGCTCCATTTTGTTTCTATGTTACCACAGGCATCCCCAAACTCGGTCCTCAATGCCCACTGTCCTGCAGGTTTTAGAGGTTTCTCTGCTTTAGCACAGCTGGTTATGATTGCAGTAGACCAAAGCCTGCTAATCAGCTTTCAATTAAAATCAGCTGTGCTGGAGCAAGGAAGCCTCTAAAACCTGCAGGACAGTGGGCCTTGAGGACCGAGTTTGGGGATGCCTGTGTTACCATATTCCATTCGTTTCCCTTCTGTACTAGAAATTATATGCAGTTTACTGAAAATCTAATAGTTTGTTTTCTTTTTCAGCTAAACATGGTTCACCATGCAATACATGGCTTTGCAATGGTTCTGGCCATATTGGCTAAGGGAAATAATTGTATGAATGAAGATGTCTGAAGACATAAGTTCATTTTTCTGCTCCCCGAATAAACTGTGCAGCTGTATGGAATTACAAGTATAGTAGGAATCCGTAAGATGTAAGAAATATTCAAACTGTTAAATGAGAATAATGCTGTTGTTGTTGTGTGTGTTTTTTTTTTTTTTTTTTTTTTTTTTTTTTTTTTTTTACTTGTAAGATGAGGCAATAATAGTTGGACTTTAATGTTTTGGTTTGAAATGTACAAACAGTAAAAAAGCCAGAAATATCACTCCAAGTCAGAAACAAGCAGCAGAAACGAATAGAGTGCAATCAAAATACAACTTATGTTATTATAATTTGTGAAGTTTTG